AAGAAAAAAAAAAAAAAAGAGGTAATCACTGGATCATGATGCACAGGAAGTCTGAGCATCACTCGAATTTTCTTTGACTAAATTATGTTTACTGACAGAAGCATTGATGGTGATTAGCAGCTGGCTAAATCAGAGCCTGCTCTCATAATTGCTCGGGAAAGCCTCATTACAGAAGGAATCTAACTCCACTAGGGTAAAATTAATCTTTACTTCTTCACAAAACAGGCACAAGTTTCTTTGAAATTGTCATTGTAGGAAAGCTGATTGGGTTTAAGTCAAATATTTTTAAAAATGGTGCACTGCAAAATTTTATGTGGCTCTGAATCGGTTTAGTAAGTATACACTGTACACATACACTTCTTTTTTTTTTAATTTAGCTTAATACTATTCTCCAGCAACATGAGCTGGACTGAAATAAATCAATAGAAAGGCCAAACCCACCCACTTTACACTCTCTGAAAGTTTGTGTTTCTAACAATCTAACTCCGCCAAAGTAGTGACGTTCTCAGGTGGACAAGACCCGCAGGACTTCATGCAACATAATGAACGTGCCTGGGCACCTGGCACATTCTAAAGGGCAGTTATGTTGCATGGGGGTCTGCCCTCATCCCATAGGTGACAACAGCAGCAGCAAAATCTAAACTAGGCATGAAATTACAAGAGCAGGTAAAGACTGTGCATTTCTTTCCCGAAACAAAATGACTTTGCCAGACCCTTGGAACAAGGAGAAGGCCAGAGTTTGTTACAAACTTATACTTAGGATTTAGAGATGGTAGAAGGGAAGCATCCAAGTCAGCATGATGTGTTTCCCTCCCAGGGAAGCCAGTGCTGTGCCATATGACAGGCAGAAGCAACAAACACAACTATGCCGACAACTCAGAAATGGCATTCCGGTTGTGTGGTGACTGGAAGCAGAGCTCGGAGATCCATGGCCAGCGGCCTTCTCATACAGCACTCGAGAGAGCGCTGCATCATTTTCAGAAGTAAAAAAAAAAAAAAAAAGTTACGTCCTATTAGAATCAGAGCTCTAAAAAGTTTGGGTAAACTGTTAAGAGATGGCATGAAGAAATCTTTTCTGTATTCACACATATGTGAAAGTCATAAATTGTAAACTTAGTAGCAGGAGATTCATTAAATATTCAACAAAATCATCGAGTGCTCAAAATGTTCCTCTCATCCAGTGAAACATACAGCATCTGTTTGTCATTTACAAAGATTATCTATTTTTTCAGCAAAAATCATTAGTCCTTTAAAGCAATTATGCTGAAAGGGAGGGCAGAAAACAAGAAAACTGAAATATTGGCCTTTTGCTTGTTCTGAAATCATAACCATGCTGACTGTAAAGTTTGTTGGCATTTTATAGACAACTGGAATGACCGCACTATACGTTATATCGCCTTTAAGAGTATCTTTCTCAACACTGGGGCATGAATAACAGGATGATTATACTACTTATCTCCAGTGAGATGAAAAAATTCCCAACATCACTGTAAACATTTTGAAGAAATAGATCATCAGGGAACGCATCCTCGTGTCAGCGAGCGTGTCAGAGAAGAGGGCTGGCATGATTGAGCAGTGAGACACGGCACCTTCTTGTTCAGCGGCAATCGCTGGCAAATGGCGGGGACTTTTTTTTCCCCTGCATTTCATTTTCTTAATTTATTCAGAAAGGCAATTTGTTTTGCTGCTAAAGCAGAGGGCTCCTTCTCTCTTTACTTATCTCCCTTTTCCCCTGATCAGGATCCTAGATATAGGACGTGGATGTAGTTTCCCATTTTCCTTTTAAACATAAACAAATTAGTAGGCTTTTTGAAATCATTCTGTTTCTAAAATGCATCAGTCCAGTGATTTATCAAGGAGAGTATTTTTGCCTTCTGTAATGGTCTAGAACAAGTAATTCAGCTACAGGGAGGAAAATACAGTTTACGTACCATGCCAGTAGTAGCTTGCAGCAAAACAAGAGCAGGGACTTTTTAGGCAGCGTCAGGAAAAAGACAAGACCTTAACTTTGTCCGACGGGTAGCTAAACATGCCCATCAGACTTGCATTCATCATGTTCAACCTACCTGGGGACAGGTGGTATTACATGGAATCGTAACACCTCATGCTTGTACCTTGATGCATTAAGCTAACCCTCGGCAAGAGTTAGGCGAGGAAAAGCTGGCTGCCTGCAGCTCCGTTCCTCTGACAGTCTGTGCCAGAGTGCGCTCATTCCTGAAGCTCATCCCCTCGGTCTAGCGCTGACAGACCTCCCTTAGCTCGGGTGCACTAGCCTTTAAACCCATTAATTGCAGGCTGGAATATCACCAGGCCCTGCTGTCCAAAGTGGTTACAAACACAGTGCACGCCCTACTCTACCTGGTTGCTGCTACTGGTATTAAACCCAACCAAACAGAAGTTCGAAGCTCCTAGAAGCATGACTCCTCCTCTTTGTTTTAAGTGGCTTTGTACCTCCCGTGCTTGTTACTATTGCCAACCAGTCGATGCAGCTTAAGCTACTGCCTCTTCACCTATGGATTAAACCCAACAAAACTGCTTGCAGAATGACTTCACGACACTTTTCCGATTAAGTATTCATTCCCAGGCTAAATTCTGTTCTAGGCAGTTTACCTACAAATTTAAGAACCTTCTCTCCCCTTCCTCCTCTTCCCCAAATAGGAAAAAAGTGCTTGGAACAACATGAGTCATCATTATAAAAATGGTAACAGAAGAGGGATAGAGACTTTGAGCAAGGTTTAAAATAATATAATTACACAAATTGGATCAAGCGTATGTGTCTTGGTATTCTGTTGGCAGCCATGTAATTAGATTATAACTAACCCCACACCTAGGAAGTGAGAAACTCTTTGAAGATAGTTGCCCTTTGCACAATTATGAAGCCGTCAGCATACAGCCTGCCCTCATTAGTTGTGCAGAGCACCTGCAATGAAATTTTTTGCAACACTAAGAATTCCACATGAGGGATTCAAGACGTCCTTCCAGAACTAAATATGTATTTTGTAATAGAACTTGTTCTAGCAAAACGTCAATGCCAAGATTTCATAAGCTCCTCACATCTATTTTAGCTGAAGATGACAAAATATACAGCGTGCAGAAATTCCTTTCCGGACTACTAACTTCTTGAAATGAAAATTTGCTATAGTTAACCAAGGAGGAAGCAATATGCAAAAAGAAAGAATTCCACACTAAACATATAAACACTTTCAGAGGCTCATCACACAGAAAGAAAAAAATATTTTGAAGAGGAAGAAAGTGAAGAACGAGAAAGGTTATGATCTTAAATTCCATGAAGAAGAAAAAAATAGAAAAAAAGTCATATTAAAACCTAAAATTAAAAAGTCAGGAGACTATTAAAGGATATAAAACTTTGAAAATGCAAATTATTTTATGGTAGTGTCATCTGGACCTACCCCTACTGAGTGTTACACAAGGCGCGGGTTAAATAAGTCATACCTGTATTACTGTTGATACGATGGTTAAAAATAAATGTAAAGACTACTGAAAGCCAATCTTACACTCACTGTTCTGCAATGTAAATGAGCGCAGCTCAAATTATTTCTCTACCGAGGGAAGCAACAGGCAGCATATAAATGCAAACAACCTTCATTAGAGACATTGTCATGAGTATATTAATCATGTCAAGAAGCATTGCTGAAGTTTCCTTCAGTGCAATTTAACATACCTCACTTTATTAGGATGCACTTAATTTCACTATGTTTTCTCCTCATTATCATTTATGATGACCAATTAAAATGTTTGTGTCTGTCTCTAAGCAAATTACTTCTGTAATTCTGGTAGCTGAAATCACCGCTCATCCAACATTCTGTCATCTTGTTCCATCAGTGCAGTATCTTTCTTTGCCCAGCCTCTATTAGCCTTTTAGAGAGGAAAAGCTTACTTGGACTGGACAGTTAGGTATAAACCCGGGTCTTTTTACAGTGTAGACAATAAAAAGTGGGTTGCTTCCCGCCCCCCCCC